TGATGTGGCAAAAGGCAGAGGGAAAAGTCATTCCAATTCTTCCTTATGAATTGCTTTGGTCCTAGCCCAACTTCAGAAGGGACATTTCAGTGATCTGATCTGGCCATGAACAACTGTGAAACTAACTAGAAGACTATAAAATCTTTCCTAGAATCATTTAAAAATAGAATTGTGAGATTTAAAAATAACTACACGTGAAGGTTGATAGGTATATTTTAAACTTCACAATTCACTGAAAAGATATGAGGAGTATCAATTATGACATTATTTACTGAATCAAATTTGATCCTGGATCACTAGTAATTTGACTCTAAGTCCATCCAAGTTGTACTCAATCTTCAGATCAATACCAAAACCAACCCAGGACTACAGATTATCTAGTGCTTGGCTGGACTAATGCCTCTAGGCTTCTTGACTAGTATCTCTAATTTCAGGGAAGAGCAAACTCAAAAGCAACTCTGAAAGATTAAGAGGAGCGAAGTGCTGGAGTAGGCAAGCCAACTAACTGTTAAGTAACAGAGTGAGCCAGCTGTTAAGCAGCCATTAATAAAGATTAAATTACATTAAAAATATTAAATTATAAAAACTAAGATAAATTATATTAAAAACAATGGAACGAAAACTAAAAATGTACCTCTCTATTTTACATTTTACCATTACCTTTGCTCTTGAGATTATTTATAGCTAATGTATCTGAATGGCAGGAAAAAATGTATATAATGGTGTGCTACTGAGCATCTTTTACCCACTCTGTACTGTCATCACATTGATAATTGGAAATTGGCTATACTGGGATTATTTACATCACATAAATAGGCAGAAACTACTATAAATAAGGCCCTGTCCCCACTTTTTAAGGAGTAATTTAAACATTTCCCAGAACACTACTGGCTTAGGAGGGTACCACAGCCTCTCGTTAGCTCATGTACAGACCTCATCTCATCATTCATGCTAGCCCCATAAGACAGACTCAATTAAAAAAAAAATGTTGCCGAACTAGTTATAAAATAGAATCTTTTAGGAATCATTACAAATGGTTTCCTTTTGAACATACATATCTTCTCTCTAAACAAGAGAACACATCCTATATAATAAAAGCCTAATATGCTAAGTGTCCGGTTGACCAGTCAGCCATTCAACCAATCAAAGCATAATATGCTAATGATATGCTAAGGCTGCTCAACCACTCGCTATGATGTGCACTGACCACCAGGGGGCAGACAGTCGACCGGTTGACGAGTCACTATGACGTGCATTGACCACCAGGGGGCAGATGCTCGGACTGGTAAGTTAGCTTGCTGCTGGAGTCCGGCCAATCGGGACTGAGTGAGACAAGCTGGATATGCCCTGGAGCCCTCCCGCAGTCTCTCCCCAGCTGGCCAAACTTCCGCGTGTCTCCCCATCCCAATCATGCACCAGTGGGGTCCCTCGGCCTGGCCTGCACCCTCTCACAATCCGGGACCCCTTGGGGGATGTCGGAGAGCTGGTTTTGGCCCGATCCCACAGGCCAGGCTGAAGGGCCCCACTGGTGCACGAATTAGTGCACCAGTCCTCTAGTTTCCTAATAAATAGCAAGAAAACTGGGTCTGAGAAATTTTTGAATTCCCACAATTAATCTTTTATGGGAAGGCTTATGATGGGTTATTTTTATTTTTTGTCCTTTGTCCCTTACATCAAATACTTTCTCCTATAGGAGCTCTTGCCCTAAGACAACATAAACTGGCCTCAAGAACAAAGATGGACCAATTGGCTCCCCCTCACCTTGAGGAAATTATTAAGTAGGCCCATGTACTACAAAGGCCAGATTCACCACAAATGGCTTGAATGCCATTTGGGTCATTTCAGACATATGGAGTGTCTCATTCAAGTTACTAAAAGAATATAAAAATTGGAACATTGTGAAAAAAAAATTAAGGCATACATGAGTTGTTTTTTTAAAATAAATCTTTATTGTTCAGATTACTAGTTGTTCCTCTTTTTCCCCCCATAGCTCCCCTCCACCCAGTTCTCACCCCACCCTTTGCCCTTACCCCGCCACTGTCCTCATCCATAGGTGTAGGATTTTTGTCCAGTCTCTTCCCACACCCCCCACACCCCTTTCCCCCCCCCCGAGAATTGTCAGTCCACTCCCTTTCTATGCCCCTGATTCTATTATATTCACCAGTTTACTCTGTTCATCAGATTTTTTATTCACTTGATTTTTAGATTCACTTGTTGATAGATATGTATTTGTTGTTCATAATTTTTATCTTTACCCTTTTCTTCTTCCTCTTTTTTTAAAATATATTTTATTGATTTTTTTACAGAGAGGAAAGGAGAGAGATAGTTAGAAACATCAATGAGAGAGAAACATCAATCAGCTGCCTCCTGCACACCCGCCACTGGGGACATGCCTGCAACCAAGGTACATGCCCTTGACCGGAATTGAACCTGGGACCTTTCAGTCCGCAGGCCGATGCTCTATCCACTGAGCCAAACCGGTTACGGCTCTTCTTCCTCTTCTTAAAGAATACCTTTCAGCATTTCATATAATACTAGTTTGGTGGTGATGAACTCCTTTAGCTTTTTCTTATCAGTGAAGCTCTTTATCTGACCTTCAATTCTGAATGATAGCTTTGCTGGATAGAGTAATCTTGGTTGTAGGTTCTTGGAATTCATCACTTTGAATATTTCTTGCCACTCCCTTCTGGCCTGCATAGTTTCTGTTGAGAAATCAGCTGACAATCGTATGGGTACTCCCTTGTAGGTAACTGACTTTCTCTTGCTGCTTTTAAGATTTTCTCTTTGTCTTTTGCTCTTGGCACTTTAATTATGATGTGTCTTGGTGTGGTCCTCTTTAGATTCCTTTTGTTTGGGGTTCGCTGCACTTCATGGACTTGTAAGTCTATTTCTTTCACCAGATAGGGGAAGTTTTCTGTCATTATTTCTTCAAATAGGTTTTCAGTATCTTGCTCTCTCTCTTCTACTGGCACCCCTATAATTCGGATGTTGGGACGCTTGAAGTTGTCCCAGAGGCTCCTTACACTATTTTCATATTTTTGGATTCTTTTTTCTTTTTGCTTTTCCGGTTGGGTGTTTTTTACTTCTTTGTATTTCAAATCTTTGACTTGATTCTTGGGATCCTCTTGTCTGCTGTTGGATCTCTGTATATTATTCTTTATTTCAGTCAGTGTATGCTTAATTTCTAGTTGGTCCTTTTTCATATCCTCGAGGGTCTCACTAAATTTATCGGCCGTTTCTAGAAAATTCTTGAAAAACCTTATAACCGTGGTTTTGAACTCTATATCCAGTAGTTTGCTTTCCTCCATTTCTGTCATTTGTGACCTGTTTCTTTGTCTCCGCATTTTTTATGCTTCCCTGTGTTGATAGAGTGGCTCTCTGTGCTAGGTGTCCTATAGGGCCCAGTGGCTCAGCCTCCCCAATTACCTGGGGTGAACACTCTTGGTGCACCCCTTTGTGGGCTGTGTGCACAGTCTTGTTGTAGTTAAGCCTTGATTGTTGTAGGTATCACTGGGAGGAATTGACCTCCAGGCCAATTGGCTGTGAGAATCAGCTGTGTCTACAGTGGGAGAACTTCTGTGCTGAAGACACCCTTCTGGGGCAAGACTTGCTTCAGTGGGGCTTTGGTGCTCACTGAGTCTGTCCCCTGACTGTGTCCCTTATGGATCTGAGAAGTTGTAATCTGGATGGTCCCAATCTGACCACTGGGTACACTGGCTCTTAGATCTCTAAGGAGGTGCTAATTTAGTCTCTGCCTGAGGCTACCCAGCATGAGCTATGGAGAGATCTGCAGGTTCCTCTTCCTTGTTTGGGGTTTGGAGGTGCCCAGATGAGTCCCAACTGTGAAGCAATGCAAGCTGCTGTGGGGCCTTGGGCCTTCTTTTGGATGTTCTGGGTCTCTCTGACCCAGCTGCAGATTGTTAGGTAATTTTAGATCTCAAAGGGCCAGCCCATTTATATGCAAAAGCCTCTGCGCACAGCTTGGGTGGGGCGGGGTCTCAGGGAATCAACAGGGCGGAGCAAACAGCTAAGGCTGATCCTCAGTCCTGCCCTAAGAGGTCCCGGGTCTCAGTGTCCTGGTAATCACTGCAAGCACCTCTGAGAGAAAGCCGCCCTCCAGTTCTGCCCGCTGCCAGACAGTCCAGTTTCTCCCCGTATGAGTCAGGGTCCCCAGAGACTCGCCCAGAACTGGAGTCAGGGCCATCGGGAGCTTGTGCCTCCCTCCCGATTGCAAAAGACACTGGCATCCTCCATTGCCCACCCCTTTCCACGCGCACTCGAGCCTCCGTACCTCTGCACTTTACTTCTGCACCTCCTCTGAGTCTTAGTGTGCTTTTCTCTTTCCTTCTAGTTGTAGAATTTCCACTCAGCCAGCCTTCCTGTGGTTCTGTATGATGTCTGTTTTGTCTTTTAGTTGTATTTTTGAAGTGGTTGTGCGAGGCAGCAAATTTCAGGTGTTTACCTATGCCGCCATCTTGGTTTCTCCTGGCATACATGAGTTTTGATTTTATTTTTTTGTTCGTCTGTTTGTCTTGGAGTGCCTGCAAATACTCTAAATGCCTAAGCTGAACTGGAAAGAGATGTATACACAGGACATATGTGATTTTTAACCTGTTTCTTAGGTAGCTGGAAAAAATAATATCACCAAACTATACTAACACCACTATATCATCTTATAAAATGTGCAGAAATCAGGACAAAGGGCCACGTGCTTGTTCTTTACAACGGAAAGGCACCAAACATTTAAAAGAAAGTAGTTTTCATATCTGAGAAATTGCTACGTAACTCTAAATTTGAGGAAGAGCAACTTTCTGTATTTTTTTCCCTTGTGGGAATTTGCAAATATGATGCAGTATATTGAGAATTCACCACACACATTTTCCACTAAATACTGAGAAATACTAGAGCAGCGACTAGAGTTTTATAGTTATTTCCAAGCGTTTATGTGTGAGTGCATGTGTATAATAGAGCCTTCAAAAGTACCCTTAGTTCTTAATATTTAATAATTGAACGGAACTATAAATGTTATCAAGTCATAATGGCTTCTGACCTCAAAAAAATTCTCTGTAAACCTAACTTAGGGAGCTGGCCTACTTTGATGAGCACCATGGGGATATGGCTGCCATCCTGCTTTCCATCAAACAACGAGTATGAAAAACATCTACACCTTATACTTTATTTAAAATTAACAGAATGATCATCACAATTACCGGTAAATGACAATTCTGTACACTTGGTTGGATAACATAAATAATTTACATATTCACAAGCATATAGATCCTTTACCAACATCAGACATTTTAGTCTATGTAGTCAAAGTCTTCTGGAATTCCAAAATTTTTATCAATTTTATTTTCTTCAAGTCCAAATTTTCTTTTGGCCCAAGATTTTACTGCAAATATGTTATCTATAAAGAAAATAAGAAACATTTTTGAGAATTCAAAACACCATCATAAAACATTTCAAATATAATTCTATCCATTGTTTTTACTTACAGAAGTTTCTGTATTTTCAAGAGTAATGGCATAATGGCAAATTAATTTCAGAAGAAAATATTTGGTGAGTATTTTGAATAAACGGATCTCATATTTAAAAACCCAGTAAATTGGGTGCCACTGAAGAATAGCCGACTTAGGAATAATCCAAAGATAGGGAACAGCTGGCGGTGCCTCTTCCACGTCACAGTGGAGGTCAGGACTCTGTCACCTCGAGAATTAGAGCTGCTCCTGTTCCCAAAGGGAACACATTCTCTCCAGACCCTTTTCCCTCCCCGACAGAAAGTAATGGCTTCCAGGCAGCCAGGCCATGTAAGGGAGAGGGGTGAGGAGAGAAAGGGGTTTCTAAAGACTAAGATAAGAATAGATGTATCCTTAGTGTCCTCTAGGGGAATTTAAATGCATTTTACCACTGAAAAAGTATAATATGTACTTAAAGGAATTTATCCAAAGGAAATAAAACAAATTGTGTACAGAGATGTATGGTCAAATCTTCATCCAAGTATAATAAAAGAAAAAATAAATAAGAGCAACCTCAATGTCTAATCATTTGGAAGGCTGTCTTTGCATAGGCTGTACCAATGTGCTCACTGTGGTTGCACTTGGGAATAGGAATGATGGTGAGTTTTTTTTTTAAATTTTACATATTTTCTTTAATGTACATATACCACCTTTATAATGAATATGTATTATAAATAAAGAAAAATAATGGTAAAAGTGTTCTGGTTCAGAATCCTATATAATAAAAGTCTAATATGCTAAGTGTCCAGTCATCCGTTCAACCAATCAAAGCATAATATGCTGATGATATGCTAGTGCCGCTAACTGCTCGCTATGATGTGCACTGACCACTAGGGGGCAGACAGTCAACCGGTAGACCAGTTGCTATGACGTGCACTGATCACCAGGGGGAAGACGCTCTGACCTATAGATTAGTTTGCTGCTGGGGTCCAGCTGATCGGGACTGAGCGAGATGGCCGGACACACCCTGGAGTCCTCCTGCAGTCCCTCCCCGGCTGGCCAACCTCCCGCGTCCCTCCCCGGCCCCGATCGTGCCCCAGTGGGGTCCCTCGGCCTGGCCTGTGCCCTCTCGCAATCCAGGACCTCTCGAGAAATGTCAGAGAGCCAGTTTTTGCCCGATCCCACAGGCCAGGCCGAGGGACCCCACTGGTGCATGAATTTGTGCACTGGGCCTCTAGTATTCTATAAATATTAAGCACTGTATTAGCAGTGATAATGAAGTAAAAGTGTTAAAATAGGTTCTTTTGGAGTGTTATGTCCTCTCCCCCCAATTCATATGCTGTAGTCCTAATCCCCAGTCCCTCAGAATATTTGGAAACTTGACACACACACCCCCTTTTTTCTTATTTTCAAATCAATGGAGTGAAGGACACATTTTGGTGAAAAGGGTCAAAAGGTCTGTGAATTGATCTTCAAAGATGTGATTAAGTTAAAAAGAGCCTATTAGGCCAGCCCTAATCCAATCTGACTGGTGTTCTTATATGAAGAGGAAATATGGACACACTGGGACAAGAACAGCAAGACCATGAGGGGACACACGAGAAAGTGCCATTTACAAACCAAGGCCTTAAAAGAAACCAAACTTGCTGACACCTTGATTTTGAACTTCCAGCCTCCAGAATTGTGAGAAAATAATTATCTTTTGTTTAAGCCACACCCAGTCTGAAGTATTTTGTTATGGTATCCTTAGCAAATTAAAATATAGTGTTGGATCACTTTAAAAAATATTGTTCTAAGGAGTTTAATTCCAAGGACACCAACACACATGGAGGGAAGACTGTGAGAAGACACAGTGAGAAGGTGGTTGTCTACAAGGCAGGAGAAAGGCCTCAGAAGGAACCAACCCTACTGATACCTTGATCTTGACTTCCAGCCTCCAGGACTGTGGGAAAATAAATTTCTGCTTTTTAAGCCACCCAGATTGGGGATTGCAGCAGAAAACAGATGGCACAACCAAATGAAGTAAGTGGAGAGTGTAGGCAAGGATGAAAAAAGCCTACAAGAGATGGTGAAGCAGCCTGGGCTAAGCAAGGGCAAGATGTTTCTACTCCCAAGAAGAAAAGGCAAGGAAAAGTGATCCTGAACCTGGAGATCTCTACCTGGAAGGGCTGTGATGCAGAGGAGCACAGTTATTTCCAAACCACTGCATGACATGGAGAGAGAAAGCTACTCTAGGATATGATCCACAAAAATGAAGGAGTAAGTCTAAGAAAGACATAAGATACAGAAAGTGGGAAATCAGGGAATCCAACATAGGGGAGAGGCAAGCAATCCCGGGATGATGGTGAAAGGAAATTCTAGGATGACAGCTGTGTACTAGCCACAGAAGCAAGAAGACCAGACAGGACAAAACAGGAACAATTTCTTCAAGAAGATGGGGAAGCCCTGGCTGGTGTGCTCAGTTGGTTGGAGCATTGTTCCATACAAAAAAAGGTCTTGGGTTTGATTCGTGGTCAGGAAATCGAACCCGAGACCTTGTGTATGGAAGGCCAACCCATCAATGTTTCTCTCTCTCTCCCTCTCCCTTCCGCTCTAAAATCAATAAAAACATATCCTTGGGTGAGGATTGAAAAAAAGAAGATGGATGAAAATGATGCACAACTGCTATGTGTGAAGATATAAAGAAGATATTCATTCGTCTAGTAGAGTTTTAGATTGAATTAGCAATAAGTACATGGAAACCTATGTAAACAAAGTCAACTACTAACTCAAAGTCAACTATTAACTATTATAGGGTAAGAATAATACATTTAGCTATGCACAGCATTACATAATCTTCATAATGTAAACATGCTTAATCACAATCAATAATGCAAACACTGAATTATAATAATTATGCTGAAAAAAGTAGCAAGGAAGGAAATATGTAATAGTTGAGATGCAGAATAGCAAAGCTTTACATTAAGAATTACAGAATTGCCTAAAATTGAAAAATCAAGCAAAAGCAATATATGAATGTTACTTGGAGATATGATTATAAATAACCAAAAAAAAAAAAAATCAGCTAAAAGAGTTGAAAGGGCTTGCTCTGGAGACAGGAAATGGGAAGAGATCAAGGTAGTGGTGTTTTTCATTTAGAAAAAAATTGTATATTAAATTTAGCTCATAAAAATTCAATGTATATCATTTATCTATATATATAAAAGTCAAGCAATCGGAACGACAGAACGACTGGTTGCTATGACGCGCACTGTGGCAGCCAACCGGCCCAATCAGGACCCTGATCGGCCTGCCCCAACTGCCCATAGTCCCTCCCCTGATTGGCCCCTCCCCGACTGGCCTTACCCCCAACTGCCCCCCCCCGATAGGGGGCGGGGCCAGCCGGCCAACCTCCCACATCCCCTCCCCCCCTGCCTGCCTGGCCCCGATTGATCCCCATCAGGGCGGGCTGGCTGGACCCCACCTGTGCACAAATTTGTGCACCGGGCCTCTAGTATTATAACTGATATAATGACAAGACAGATGACAGTTTTCCATACAGTACATTACATTCATGCTAAAGATAACAATGCTTCCTCTACTATAAATGCTACTTGATCAGTTTAAAACACATTATTTACTATGATTGGAATATTTGGGCATACTTAACAAAAGAAGAAATTATAAACCAAAAACAAAAGAAGTTTAATTCTAGGTATCAAATAAGATTAACTTAATGTTTAAAATAAAGTTCATTTATAAGGTGAATACTAACACATCAAATAGAATAATGTTTAAAAATATCCTCATTTCTTTCAATTAAAGTGTTACAGAATATCAACAGATATTAAATAAATTTTTACTTTTTAAAAAAATCTAAAACAAATTTTACTTTTTATATGGACCTTGGAGAGAATATGAAATACTAATAGCATTAGCTACTCCAGAATGATGTTTAGTTTCACTAGTGTTTGCATAGCCAAATACTTACAGAGGGCCCGCTGCTACATGAGACAGGCATTAAGTGTATTACAGGAATTCCAGAACATAAAGAACCTATGCCTTCAAGCTGACACAAGAATAGAGAGAAAAATCAATTTACTACTGAACAATTTCAAAGCGGTATGTATGTTAGAAAAGATCACGTGTTATGTGGACAGTGTTCAGAATAGGGCTCCAAGAGCACAGAATGACTTCCATGAAATGAGAGAACAGATGCAGGTTTGGAAGCAGGAAGTCTGGAGAAATGGACTTCAACTCTAGGTCAGAGAGAAGAAAATGAGACACCACAGGAAGGCTATAGCCTCTGTAAAAGGAGTTCCCGATTCCCCTGAGGGCAAATCATTTTATTATAAACCCTCTAAGATGAAAAACAAACAGAAGAACAAGTAAAAGCTTCTCCACAACAATGCTTAATGGACCAATTCAAAAAGACTCGATTAAACAAGTTCTCAAGCTGCTGATGTCTGCCTTCAAGACAATGTTACCCACCATCCTGATAGTTCATTCCCTATCAAATAATTTCCCTATTACGTGGAAATTTTTATAAATGGCTAAGAAACAGTGTTGCTATTTTTTTTAAAAAGAAACAGCCTTATTAAGACTGGTAGAATTCCTGTTAATCAATATGGTGGCATATCCAAGATAGACACAGGAATAGAATGGGCAATATCACATGCACCACATTTATCCCCCCTCGCTCATTAAGATGCCTCTCATACTAAGTCATCGAAACTCCACTATCTGAATTATTAAATGAGCTGTTGAATGATATAACTTATTAAATTGCATTGAAGTGTATTTAGTGCCACAAAACATTTTAGGGCAAAGGTAGATTTACAGTTGTCCATATGGAAAACAATCCTATATAATAAAAGAGAAACATGCAAATTAACTGTCCCTCCGCTACAATCAAACCATGCCCACCAGCCAATCAGGAGCGAGTATGTAAATTAACCCAACTAAGATGGCAACGGCCAGGAGCTGGAGCAAGCAGGAGGCTTGGGTTGCCCCCGACGATGGAGGAAATCAAGCTTCCCGCCTGCCTTGGCTGGCCTTGGGCTCCGCTCAAGGCTACAAAGTTTCAATTATAGAAGATAAATAAATCCCAGATACCTGCTTCCAGTCCAAAAGGAGAGGCTGGGAGCTTGGGTCACCGGGGGGTGTGGCCAGCCTGAAAACGGCCATTAGCCTCTCACCCAGGTTGGCCAGGCACCCCAGTGGGGACCCCCACCCTGAAGGGGTGTGGCCAGCCTGAAAACGGCCTTCAGCCCCTCACCCAGGCTGGCCAGGCACCTCAGCGTGACACCCACCCTGATCCGGGACACCCTTCAGGGCAAACCAGCCAGCCCCCACCCGTGCACCAGGCCTCTATCCTATATAATAAAAGGGTAATATGCAAATTGACCCTAACAGCAGAATGACTGGTCACTATGACACACACTGACCACCAGGGGCCAGATGCTCAATGCAGGAGCTGCCCCCTGGTGGTCAGTGCGCTCCCACAGGGGGTGCTCTGCTCAGCCACAAGCCAGGCTGACGGCTGCCAGCACAGCGGTGGTGGTGGGAGCCTCTCCTGCCTCCTCAGCAATGCTAAGGATGTCCGACTACAGCTTAGGCCTGCTCCTCGCTGGCAAGTGGACATCCCCCGAGGGCTCCCAGGCTGCCTGACTGCCAATTTAGGTCCGATCCCCCGGGGAGCGGGCCTAAGCCAGCAGGTGGACATACCCCGAGGGGTCCCAGACTGCAAGAGGGCACAGGCCGGGCTGAGTGACCCCCCTCGAGTGCACAAATTTTGGTGCACCGGGCCTCTAGTAAAAGAATAAATACTAGTACACGAATACACTCTGTGTTTTACATATTCACAATGGTAAACCCAGTTTTGCCCCAACCTGTATATTTCAGGGACTTTTTTAAGTAAAAAGAAACCAAACATCTATAATAATAAAAGCGTATATGCTAATTACACCGGACAACCGAACAACCTTCTGGACGTCATTCCGGATGAAGCTGCAGTGGTGGGGGCCGAAGCAGAGGCGGTTAGGGGCGATCAGGCGAGCAGTTAGGGGCGATCAGGCAGGCAGGCGAGTGGTTAGGGGCAATCAGGCAGGCAGGTAGAATGTTTAGGGGTGATCAGGCAGGCAGGCAGGCAAGCAGTTAGGAGCCAGCCATCCCGGATTGCGAGAGGGATGTCCAAGTGCCAGTTTAGGCCTGATATGGCAGTCGCACATCCCCCAAGGGTTCCCGGATTGCGAGAGGGTGCACGTCCAGCTGAGGGACCCCTACCCCCCCTGCACGAATTTCGTGCACCAGGCCTCTAGTTAACTAATAATTACATAACACTCTTTAGTTATAAGTATTACTGATATTTCCTTTTGGTTTTGAAGACTGATAGATTTTCAGAAGTATAATTGTTTTAACTCCATGATCTTTTCATAACACTTTTATGTTGGAAGGAGCAAGTTATTACCTCAAGTGGAAATAGGGTTCTTAACGGCTGTTCCTGCTGCTGTAAAAATATATTCCTTCCTACATGATTTTAAAAGTGCCAGTTTCTTTCTCAGCTAAGGACATAGGGGGAAAAGTTGTTGAAAAATTTTTTAATTATAATTTTGGAAGTTTATGATCAACGGGAAAACATAAAAGCATTTTTTAAGAGGAGAAGGGAAAAGAGGAGTATTAATCCATGTGTCTAATGTTGTACTAAGTGGCTTACCAACTATCTTATTTAATCCTTCCAAAATGTGAGGTAGATACCGTCCACATTGAACAGATGAGAAAGCAGGTCTGAGAAGTTCAATTAAGTCACAGAGCAAATAAGGAACACACTTGAATTCCTTTCAGAGTCAAGTTCTTCTTACCCTTTATACAGGCTGCCTGTTCCTACTTTTTGCTGAGAACTATTGGGGGAAATCACTTTGTGACTCTTATCTTATTTTTTTAAAATATATTTTTATTGCCGAACCGGTTTGGCTCAGTGGATAGAGCGTCGGCCTGCAGACTCAAGGGTCCCAGGTTCGATTCTGGTCAGGGGCATGTACCTTGGTTGCGGGCACATCCCCACTGGGGGGCGTGCAGGAGGCAGCTGATCGATCTCTCTCATAGATGTTTCTAGCTCTCTGTCCCTCTCCCTTCTTCTCTGTAAAAAAATCAATAAAATATATTTTCAAAAAAAAATAAATAAAATAAAATATATTTTTATTGATTTAAGAGAGGAAGGGAGAAAGAAACATTGATCAGCTGCTTCCTGCACACCACTTACTGGGTATCGAGCCCACAACCTGGGCATGTGCCCTTGACTGGAATCGAACCTGGAACCCTTCAGTCCGCAGGCTGACACTCTATCCACTGTGCCAAACCAGCTAGGGTTTAACTTATTTTTAACCTAAAAATCCACTTACTAGTTTTTCTCACTCAAAATTTTGTATTTCACAAATCCATATGATAGTACTGTATTTATTACTTCTTTAGACGTTATTGAACACATAATTCATTATTCTCTTTTTAAAAAATATTTTTATTGATTTTTTTTTTTTAGAGAGAGCGAGAAACATTGATCAGCTGCCTCCTGCATGCCCCCTATCGGGGATCGAGCCTGCAACCCAGGCGTGTGTCCTAACTGGGTGGGACTCGAACCCCACACCTCTTGGTGCATGGGACAATGCCCAACCAACTGTGCCACACGGGTCAGGGCTCATTATTCTCTTTTCTTTAATATTAGTTTGCTGGTTTACCTTTCTGTTTTTACCACGAAAGCATTACATTATTTAGCAAGTAGCTTCATAATAAATAAAATTGCAATTTTATAGGAACCAAAGGCCAATTACATTGACTTTATCAATCTACTTAATTCTAAAATAGACAAGAAAAAAATGATCCTACTTTTTAAGAAATACAGAGGCCTGGACACAGAGTCAGAGAAACTTGGCTCAAATCTCTTTCTTCCAGCGACTGACTTAATCACCTTTGACTTTAAGCTCTCTGATCTCTGCATTAACACAATCTTATCCATCCTCCCCCACAGAAACAAAATGAGGATGAGTAATACATGTGAAGGCATTATAAACTCTTACCAAGATGGAAGAGTTCAATTACCATTAATGTACAATTAAATACTGAAAAAACAGTGCATTTTTCAGACAAGTTTTAACAATACTAATCATACTTGTATGTAATTCACAGCAATTATAATTTTTAAACTTTCTTCTAAACTTTAAGACACACAGATAATGCCGTAATAATTCCCATTTCTTAGAATATCTCTGGTGTAGACCAGAGGATATATCTACTGGCAAATGGGTTAATGAGGCATTTACAGGAAGGCAGGGATACAGAGAAGACAGTATCACATAGGGAATAAGAGCTTGGACTCTGAATTCAGAAAAGCTGGATTCTGAATCCTGTTCTACTGCCTAGCACCTGTGTGGCCATGGACTCCTGCTGGTCTCTGTTTCAACTCCAAAATTAGGGATAATAATCCTATCTACCTCACAAGATTGTTGTAGAGATAAAACGAGAATGCACCACAGACACTCTTTATAATGTCTGGCTTAAAAACAGAACTCACCAAATGTTAGCTGTTATTATTATTAGCAAGAAGACAAATCTTTAGGATTCCACAAAACTCTTAAAGTTCTATGAAGGTTAAGTGATTAGCCTAAGTGACTTATCTGAGAAAAACCACACAAAAGTTAAACTGGAAGCAATCATTGGTTTTTTAAAAATATCTTATACTTTACAAAATGACTCATAAAAAGATTAAAACCTTAACTAAAATGATTTAATATATAAAAACCTGCTTAATGCATGCATTTCCAAAAACGTCTTTCCTTGAACAAAACTAGATACAATAGCTTCTGTATTTCACATCATAGTAAGTGTGGAAGAAGTTTATAGTTTAGCAGTGCCATTATAATACATACCAGTCCATCTGTTAGCAGCGTCTTTGGCTACTTTATTTGCTTGACCTGAAAAAAAACAGAAAAAAAAAATATATATACACGCACATACACACACACACACACACAGTAAATGCAGTAGGTCCTCAAGTTACCTCTTTTCGCCATAAGTTGGAACCCACCTACATAAGCACCTACGTCACTCACATGGAGCACATACACAGCAGTAATGAAGTGAAACAGTAAAAAAAATTTAAAAGAAAGATAACAATTCCTGACCTTTACTTGTGGTAAATAAATAATAAAAAACATAAAGCACATATATACATACTTCAAAATGATGGAACTTTTTAATAAATAAATGGGAGATGGCGACGTAACCACGAAACGACGTACGTCAAATCCGACGTAAGGACTGTCTGTATTGGTTTCATTGATCACCTCTTGTTTTTCAACTATCACTTTTATTTCTGCTCTATTCATTATATTTCCTTCTGCTTGCCTTAGGTTTAGAGGGTTCTTCTTTTTCCAGTTTCTTAAGGTGGAAGACTAGGTTATTGATTCAAAAGTTTTCTCTAGGCATTAAATGTTAATCAATTTTTTAAAAAAGAGAAATATTTGGAAAACAATAGATAATAAAAGAAAAAAATAAGACGTTAGTAAATTTCCACAGAGCAATGCCTTCACTGCATCCCAGTGTGTGCTGGGCATGTTTAAACACTCAGGCAATTTACAACTCTGCCTTAGCTTTCACTTCCTGCTTGCACAAAGTGTCCAGAAAGGTCAGCTGGAGGTGGGAGATTAGGAACTTCTCAGGTCTTTCCTGAGAATGTGCACAGGCCTATGCATGTATGTGGGCTTCTAGATTTCCTGGAATATGCTGATTTTTAAGGCACCAACGGACATATCTTTCAGCTTCTCCTTTTAAGCTTTCTGGTTAGTCTACTGTTTGCCTTATTATTTTAGATAATCACTTCCCAGGGAGAGGCTGTTAAAACTTGATATATTCCAATCCAGGTCAAATAAAGACATTCATTCCTATTGGTGGCTTTTCAGGGAACCACCAGAGACATCAAATAATGACAATTCTTTGGGAATGAGGGGCTTAAAGATTACAGCTATTATCAACAGAAAAACTGTTTCAAAATAAGCCATGAGAGACTTCAAGATAAGCCTAACTGTTGTAATATAATACTATAGCCATTAAGAACCAAATCGTATTAAAATCAATTTGTGAAACTCATAAATCTTAATCCAGCATATTATATTCTGCAATAACTTGTTAGCAGCCAAAATACTATAAAATCCTTCATTATCAAAAAGCACATTTTACAATAATCTCATTGGGAAGGGAACCTGGGGTAAGCAGAGGTTAAAGTCTAAAAAAGTTTTCTAGATTTAGGGATAAGGAGATCATTGCCATTTATAATTTATATATTTAAATTTCTTGAATCTGTGGGTTATAGTTTCCATCAAATTTGAAAAAAAAATTAGCCTTTATCTGATAATATTTCTTCAGATATATTTCTGACCTGGAAAACCCTGCTGTTCCCTAACATGCACTCCTTTTGGGATGGCAATTACAAATATATTAGGTCACTTGAGGTTGTCCTACAGCTCATAAATGCTATTTTCATTAAAAAAAATTTTTTTTCTGAGTTTCATTTTGGATCATTTCTACTGCTATGTCTTCAAATACACTAATCCTTTCACAAAGTTTAATATGCTGTCATTTCAATTCAGAAGTATTTATCTCCACAAGTTTGACTTGGATCTTTTTTATATCTTTCATGTTCCTACTTAACTTTTTGAATATATAGATTACTTTTAAAATAAGTTTATGGTCTTCTAATTTTATCATCTGTGTCAGTTCTGGGTTAGTTTTGATTGATGGTTTATTCTTCTCATTAAGGATCATGTTTTCCTATTTCTTTGCATGCCTGGTAATCTTTCATTGTATGCCAGACATTATGAATTTTATTATTTTGGGTGCTAGATATTTTTGTCCTCCTATAAATATTCTTGAATTTGTTCTGTAATGCCAAAAGTTACTTTGAAACACTTTGATGCTTTCAAGACTTGCTCTTACGATTTGTTAGATAGGTTGAGAGCAGTCAAGACCTTCTTGGGTACTCTACCAATGCCTTGTGAATTATATATTTTTCTAGTCTGGCCGGTAAGAGTTGGCACTATACCTGGTCCTATGTGGGTGCCTGGCACTGTTCCTTCTAATCCTCTGAGACTGTTCTTTCCCCAGCTTTGGGCAGTGCCCTTAATTGCATGAACTAAGTACTCGAGAGAAACCGTCTATAGATATCCAGGGTTCTCTTTCTATGTAACTCTCTCCTCTCTAGTATGCTGGCCTAGATCAGCTCTAGCCATGTGATCTCCCTCATTCTCAATTCCTTCTCCTCCTTAAGGGAGTCTGCAGGGCTCTGCCCAGGTTCTCCTTCCTTGTGCCACAGCCAGGAAACTCTCAACAAAATAAGGTGGAACAACCATAAGGCTTTGCTCTAATAACTACTGTCTTTTGTTGTCTGATATCAAGTATCTTGAAAACCATTATTTCATATATTGTTGTTTCAGGTGGGAGGATAATCCCAGTTCATCACTATCGTGGCTGGAAGTGGAAGTGCCCCATTTGAATAAAGTTTTATTTGCTAGCTGAATTTTAAAAGCAGAGAAATTGTGCATTTCTCTATAAAACTATAAACTAAAATTAGACTAAAAAATTATATTTACAGGCATGTAGGCTTTGATAGTTTCTCCCCCTTCACGTTGTAGTTTGGTAGCTCTCTACAAAAAAGATAACTTACCTTGACATCTAAAATATATTTATGGAATAATGTAATTATCTTGCTTATCTACTGTCTATTAAATATGTGTAATTCTCTATAATTAACATATTCTATAGAAATATATAATATTTTTAATGGAGGAAACGAATAGCATAAAGCCAGGAAGGAAGGACTTACCCTCTCATTCTCCTATTAAGATCAGAAACGTACAGTGTGAAAATGTAAAAAATGGACACAAATCCTACAAATTCCATTGGATCCAAATATAGATCCATCTGATGTGGCTACATAAATATTAAAAGATAATCTAGGTCTGATGTTGATGAAGAATGATAAAGTCTCTTTAACTCACTCTAAAACAGAAAACTTTTTCTTCTTCAATTAGACCTCACACCCATAATACTCATTCACACTGCTTTCCGTGGGTTGAAAAACAAATTACTAAGCTTTTAAATGTAAGGGTTAAGAAGGAAAGCAGAATTCAGGCAACCAGTATAAACTTCCTCCTCAACTATGCTTTCTACTGTCCAGAAAATCCATCATCCTCTGTATACCCTGAAACATCATGTTTTAGTTTTCTTTTTAAGAGGTGATGCACTTGCCAAAATTGCTGCTTGATTCAGAGGTACAAGGAATGGTAGCATCTGAAATTACAATACCTGAAATAAAAGTTTTCCCACTTCATGAATCAGTCTGGCACAATTCTCTAGCCCTGATGATTTTCTGTACTTCATAATGACCCATAGCCTTAGGATCACCAGCAGTGTATGTCAGGGTAGTTCTGTAAGAGTTTTAGTCATTTCTGAGAGGACAGATGAAATTAAAAGTAGGGGGTCATAAGTAGAAGTGTTATCGGTCAGGGTCATCTAACCAGCCGTAGCAATACCAAGGGGACCACAGAGTGAAAATGCAGAAACCCTGAATGGGTATTGCTAAGAGTTGCAGTTCCTAGACAGAAAGAGAATAAAACAGGAAAGCAAAGAGTTGGTAAAGGAACACATCCAAAAATTATACAAAACTGAAATCAGGAAGCAAGGCATAGCCAAGTAAGCGTAATCAATGGAGGATCAGATTTGGTTACTGTTTTACTGTGTGAAAACAGAATTTTCATGATGAATTGCTAGAAGGTACAGCCATACTGATCCTGAAAATAAACCAGCTGAAGGTAGGAAATCTGGGTAAGGAAACTGTTATGAAAGTTCTCTTTGCTGAGAAGCTGCTCTAGGCAAAACACACAACATCTGATGTCCTCTTTTCTTTTAAAGATAAAGCACGAGCAGGCCTAGCTTCCTAGTAACTTCCTACCTGTCTCCTGCTGCTTTGATGTGCTCGTATTCACTGAGGATCATGTGATATTAAGTTAAACCTTTAAAACAGATTAAAGTGGTTAATTTTGTAGCAGTAGATTTGATTAGCACTTTCTTCTGCAGGATGATGATAAATGAAATGAATCTGTGGGCGGCTTGAAAGAGCTAACATGTCTCCCCAAAAACTTAATTTGTAGAAAATGACTAGCTCAGGGAGTTCTTCTGCCTCCACACTCTGAAAATCATGATGGATAGTCAGCAGAGACAGAGCCAATACATACCGCCATCTAGGCCAGCGGTTCTCAACCTGTGGGTCGCGACCCCTTTGGGAGTCGAACGACCCTTTCGCAGGGGTCACCTAAGACCATCGGAAAACACATATATAATTACATATTGTTTTTGTGATTAATCACTATGCTTTAATTATGTTCAATTTGTAACAATGAAAATATATCCTGCATATCAGATATTTACATTACGTTTCATAACAGTAGCAAAATTACAGTTATGAAGTAGCAACGAAAATAATTTGATGGTTGGGGGTCACCACAACATGAGGAACTGTATTAAAGGGTCGTGGCATTAGGAAGGTTGAGAACCATTGATCTAGGGGCTGTGTACTACCTGCACGTGGTTCCTCTTGGGCTGTGCAGAACAGGGACCCATCTCTAAAATTAAATTTAACTTTACATTGCACTAACTGAACTACTCAGGGTTTTTGTTGTTGTTTTTTTTAACTGTAAAGAATACCATCAAGGACAACTTAATTGTAATCAAACTCTCTCAGGTTAATTTTAAAGTGCCAAATATTTCCAGTTTTTTTTAAAGCCTTCAATCACATAATGTCTGTTTTTCTAAAAGTTTCACTTCGTCGTTTCCTAAATGAAAAGACAGGCTAAGACAGAAAAATGTGAAGAAAGTTATGTTTTCCTTAGCAATTAAATGCAGTGTCTTTATAATACACCCTTTCATTTCTTTAAATAATCAAATTTCTATCTTCACATAAATATTTAAAAATTATTCAAATTGAAGCTTTGGAGACTGTGGTTTAAAAGTAAGACAAAACATCATTGTATATTCAAAAGGCAAGTCACACAGACTAATTTTCTGCAACTTGCAAACTTTGTATTTTGGTATCATTTTTCCTAGAAGATATTGGTGGGTTTTTTTCTAGAGTTAAGGTACTTGGAGCCAAGATAGCTCCTTCTCTGACTCCTTAGTTTCCTAAGTTTATATTTTATGTCTTTATCCTTCTACCCCACCTAACTTCCTTATTCTTGAAATGCTTTTAATTTTAAAGCTATCACTATCCTTTAAGGTAAGTCTCCTTAAAGAAAATTTTAATGCACCATTAATACTATTAATGGCTTTATTTTCTTATATACATAGAGAAAGAATACTAGGCAACCAGAAGTATAAAGTCTCTTTCATTAGCAGAGTTAAAATCCTCAATATGTGACACAAACTTACGTATTTCTTCCACAACTTGAGGATCACATTCTCTGTACTTTTCTACTTCTGCCTTTAGCTGTTCCCTTTGTTCTCGAAGTGAAGAAAGCTCTTTTGTTAGCTTGGTTCGCTCTTCCTGCATTTAAAATATTTTTATGTATAATTAAGGCAAACAAAATGTCATATATTATAAGGCTATACATTTTATAGACATTTTCATTTTATTTCTCATAACTGATGTGCATTAGGCTTTGACAATATTATAAATACACCTACATATATTTATAGTATAAGAACAAGCTCAATTATCATTTTTCTCTTACATTTCAAGCATCTGTTATATATACTGACTGAATGAGAATACGTAGAATGAAATGCTCATAAATAAGAGGTTACTAATTATGTATGAACTCAAAGACTATGTCATTTCATGTTAGATAAAAAAATTATACCACCACTTGTATAGTTTCACAAGATTATGTCTATATATGTATGTAATATTTAGGGTAGTATCCATTATTATATAATTTTCCTTAAAAGTGTTCTAGACAATTTTTCAACCTTTAAGAATTATTAACCTTTAAAAATATTTAAAGATATAAGAAATAATAGAATTGTAGATTGTGGCCTTCCATCACTTTCCTTTAAAGCTAAACCAGAATAAAGCTTTTACACACAATGTGATCCAATAAACATCATCTGAAATTTCTAGCCATAGTTCTACTCATGGAGCTATTGGTGGTCAATTTATATGTATAAAACCTGAAAAATAAGTCCAAACAAAAATCAAATATTGGCAAAGGTTACGGTACAGAATTATAGGATACTAGAGGCCCGGTGCACAAAATTTGTGCACTGGGGGGGGGGGGTTGTCCCTCAGCCCAGCCTGCACCCTCTCCAATATGGGATCCCTTGGGGGATGTCTGACTGCCGGTTTAGGCCCGATCCCTGTGGGACATTCCTCTCACAATCCAGGACTGCTGGCTCCCAACCACTCGCCTGCCTGCCTGCCTGATTGCCCCTAACTGCTTCTGCCTGCCAGCCTGATCACCCCCTAACCACTCCCCTGCTAGCCTGATCGACACCTAACTGCTCCCCTGCCGGCCCGATTGCCCCCAAATGCCCTCCCCTGCTGGCCATCTTGTGGCTGTGGGCATGGCCATCTTTGAGGGCGTGGCAGTCAAGTAGCATATTCCCTCCTTATTGGCTGTGAGCACTGCCATCTTTGCAGCCTGCTGCTCAGTCATTTGGTCGTCCCTCACTAACACCTCTACTGGCCTGGTCGCCCCACGCAGCCTGGTGTTCAGTCGTTTGGTCGTCCCTCACTAACCCCCCTGCCAGCCTGGTCGCCCCATGAAGCCTGCTGTTCAGTCGTTTGGTCGTCCCTCACTAACCCCCATGCTGGCCTGGTTGCCCCATGCAGCCTGTTTGGTCGTCCATTCGGTTGTGATGGTTGCTTAGGCTTTTATATATATAGATGACTGAGGCAAAACTAAGTACTTCACGCTGCCTAATAAGACCTGTTCAAGTTTCCTAGTAGCTTGTGTTTCTGTATTTGTATTTTTCTACCTTTGCCTCTCTGTTCTCTTTGGTTCCAAAGTGTAGAAAGCTCTTTGCTAGCATCTGTATATGAGAATGTATTTACAGAGCAGCATGCTCTAAAGCAGCACAGTCCAAAAGGACTCTGCAATGACAGAACTGTCCTAGATCTGTGTTCTCTGAAGAAAACATTAGCCACATGTGGCTACTGAGTACAGGAAATGTGGCTATTGACATTTAATTTTAATTTAAGTGTCAATAGCCACACATGATTAGTGTGTACCATATTAGCACAGGTTAGGAGAGATTTTTAAATAACTACATATAAGATGGTCATTATTTGCCATCCACATCCAAATTATACATGTTCCACAATGAAAAATGAAAGGAGAAAAAGCTAATGAAGACAGGAGAAGCAGAGTGGTGAACATCTGTGTGAATGCAATGATAGCTCTTCGAACACCCTGAACTGGGAGCACCTCAGACTGCTATGGCACTGAGATCTTTGCCAAATTACTTAACTCTTTGTGCTTTCATTAAAATGGAGATAATGATAGTAACTACCTCCTTTACTGTTGGCAGAATTCAATAAATATATAGTATATATTAGAAAGAGTACCTGCCTTGCTCATGAGGCAGAATATTTGTTAGCTATTTCTTCTTCATTGTCAGCAACATCACCATCCTATCTATATATATAATGAAGGAATATGCAAATTTGCCCTCATGGTAACGACCGGCTGGAGCGTAATAACTAGCTGAAGTGGGTGGGCGTGGCTGCATGCCGCACGAGGCCGTGGAACGTGAGGCTGCGTCAAATCCCATAAAATGCGTTCCCATGCCCTAAAGCACAAACATCCCAGCAGATAACTCAATGCAGGCTATTGTGTAATCACAATGATTACACAATATTATTAGTATAGACTAGAGGTCTGGTGCAGGCCACCCAGAGGGACCCCACCCGTGCACGAATTCGTGCACTGGGCCTCTAGTAAATATTATCCAGTAGATGGGATACATATTTCTGATTAAGTCCTGCCTGGTGAGCTCATAACATAAGAGTGCATCCCTCTCAGAAGCCTTTCTGAATTACTATACTCTTCTGATAGCTGCAGGCACCAACTAGGTTTGCTACTGGTTTTTTCCTAATTGCATTGGTTTCAGTGGACTGTGTAACACTCAGCAGACGGGTTGACAACTTGTGTGCACAGGTATGTCACCATTAGTTGAAGGTGCTTCTAGAAGTTATTCCTAATGTTGCAGAAAAAAATGATCAAACAAAGAAGTGGTAATTACTACTGTCAATCAAAGAAGAAATAACAGCTGCATGGTATGCCCTGAACTTCTCTCCCCTTAATATTCTTTAGAAATGACCACTGTCCAATTCCCGTCTGTGACTATGCTGCTCTGGAAGAAGGTATGTGAAATAACTTTGAAAAGGATAAAGTCACTGTTAACCTGAGATGTAGTCTTCTCTCTAATGTGGCAAGTTTTTTAGTCTCTTTCACAATCAAGTGGTACAGATAAAAGACTACATGGAATGATTAGTGATTCATGTTGACCTTCAATATTTTCTCAAGTCATAAATCCATACCAGAGATAATGATGAAACTAGAAAGCAAAGTAATTTTTAAAAGAAACCTAACAATACTCTAGAGAACATTGCACTTTAAAAAATAAAATAGCAAGTCAATATTCATTTAAATAATTTAGAAATATTACAAGGCCACAAGAATATTATATTGATAGTTTTCCATTTATTCTGCGCCAATATTTAAAAAAACAAGATTCTTAAAAACATATATAAACATTTATATAGGGCTTACCTTATACCAGTTTCTCTTCTAAGTGCTTTGCCAATGTTAATTTAATCCACACAATTACCTAATGAGGTAGATTTTATTATTCCCCATTTTATAACTAAAAAAATTGAGAACAGAAAGTTTAGGAGACTTTCAAACCCAGGCAGTCTGGCTCCAGAGTTTATGCTTCTATGCTACGCTGCCATATACAACACAATAAAATAATAATAAATCTAGATTTGCAATTAGTGAATACTACCAGGTCAAATGTTCACGTCCTTTGCTGTGACTCACTTCTCTTCTGGTAAAGATGGCATACTCCTCACAGAAAGCTGTACAACCCTATTCTTTTATTTAGAATTGGTATTATTAAAGAATCTACAGACACAAACTTACCGTTTCATGTCGGCCAATTTTAGCTTTCTCAATGCTTTTCTGTAGGTTTGCTTGCTTCTGGTTTCCCTCAGATAACTAGAGAAGTAAAACAAAAACAAAAAAAATGGCTTGCTAAGATAAACTTGCTAAATATGAAGTTTATGAGTCAAAAGACAAAATGAGATTTACTTCAGCTCAAGTCAATAAAACAAAAATGTCAAAGACTACATTGGGAACCACTCTAACGTGAAGAAAATGAAGTACTATGAACCATTAGGACAAACTGAAAAAAAATAAATTTAAAAATATTTCTTCCTATCCTATGCAGAAAAATGAATATGCTTTTAATCTTTTTCTAGTCTTTAGTTCCCTATCCCCTTCCCAAATAACTTAAGGTATATTATTTTAAAATTGAATTTGAAAATTCCAAATCTGTTCTATGTAAATTCTCTTCAAATTTCATTTCACTTCTGAGTAGTCTTTTCAAGTACCCTAAATTGTTTCTTATAGACTGTAATACTGTGACCTATTTCACTAACAAAGTAAAAAATGAATGGATCACTTATTATTTTTAAACTAGAGGCCAGTGCACAAAAATTGTGCACAGGTAGGGACCCTAGTGGCTGCTGGCTGGGGCCTTCCTTCATTTCGGGCTGCCCCCCCCCCCCCCGTGGTCAGCGCACGTCATAACAAGCAATCGAACGCCCAGTTGGTTGAACTCCCAAGGGGACACTGCATATTAGGCTTTTATATATATACTAGAGGCCCGGTGCACAAAAATTTGTGCACTCCGGAGGGGAGGGGGGTCCCCCAGCCCGGCCTGTGCCCTCTCGCAGTCTGGGACCCCTCGGGAGATAACGACCTGCTGGCTTAGGCCTGCTCCCGGGTGGCAGAGGGCAGGCCCAATCCCTAGGTGCAGCCCCTGGTGGGGCTCAGAGCAGGGCCAATTGGGGAGTTGGGGCACTGCCCCATCATGCACAGAGCAGGGCGGATCGGGAGGCTGCGATGCCACCCTCAGTCACACTCAGGGTAGGGCCGATTGGGGGGTTGGGGCACCGCCCCCTGTCACACTCAAGGCAGGGTCGATGGGGAGGTTGCGGCGCCACCCCCTGTCACGCACAGAGCAGGGCCGATCAGGGGGTTGGGGCGCTGCCCCCTGTCACTCACAGAGCAGGGCCCATCAGGGGGGTTGGGGCTCCGTACCCTGTCACACACAGAGCAGGGCCCATCAGGGGGTTGAGGAGCTCCCCCCTGTCATGCACAGAGCAGGGCGGATCAGGGGGTTGGGCGCTGCACCCTGTCACACTCAGGGCAGGGCCAATGGGGAGGTTATGGCTCTACCCTGTCACACACAGAGCAAGGCCCGTGGAGGGGGGTTGGGGCGCCACCCTCTATCACCCACAGAGCAGGGCTGATCAGGGGGTTGGGGCGCCTTCCCCTGTCACAAACAGAGCAGGGCGGATCAGGGGATTGGGGCGTCGCACCCTGTCACACACAGAGCCTCAGGGCGATCAGGGGATTGGGGAGCTCCCCCCTATCAGGCACAGAGCAGGGCTGATCAGGGGGTTGGGGCGCCTTCCCCTGTCACGAACAGAGCAGGGTGGATAGGGAGGTTGTGGCCCCGCCCCCTGTCACTCACAGAGCCGCAGGGCGATCAGGGGGTTTGGGCGCTGCCCCCTGTCACGCTGATCCCGGTGCCGGGAGGCATATTACCCTTTTACTATATAGAATAGAGGCCTGGTGCACGGGTGGGGGCCGGCTGGTTTGCCCTGAAGGGTGTCCTAGATCAGGGTGGGGGTCCCCACTGGGGTGCCTGGCCAGTCTGGGTGAGGGGCTGAGGGCCGTTTTCCGGCTGGCGGGTGACTAAAGCTCCCAACTGCTCCTTTTTTTCTTTTTTTTTTTATTCTGGGCCAGCTTTAGCTCTGAGGCCTCGGCTGCTGAAAGCCGGTTTCTGGCCTTTGTTTTTCCTTCTGTATTTGATACAATGTTGCGGTCCGGCTGGCTGAACCTGGCTGACTGAAAGCCCGTTTCTGGGGTTTTGTTTAGCTTCTTATTTGCAACATAGTACATAGTTGCTTAGAGTTGCAGCTGAGAGGCCGGCAACTCAGGTGGGGAACGTTAGAGTCAGCCGTCACTGGAGCAAGCAAGCCTCCCTGTTCGCTTCAGTGCATGGCTGCTGGCCGCCATCTTGGCTGACAGTTAATTTGCATAAGGATATGCTGATTAGCCAATGAGAAGGGTAGCGGTCGTACGCTAATTACCATGTTTCTCTTTTATTAGTGTAGATAGATATATAGATAAGGTATTTTATGAGGAATTGATACTTTATATTCTAAGTTCCCAGAAAACAAAAATATGTATTAGCCTATGGCCAATTTTATGCATGTTTTACATACCTTAAAAGTGATTCGTTTAAGCACTGTACTGAACTTAGAAAGCAGTAAATTATATATGAAAATGGATTAAACAATATCAGTATAAAGAGACCACAGATACAGAATATTCATTAACATGTGGCTGGGCCCTCCCCAAAAAGGACTCATTAATTTCAGAACACTGCTTTCCCTCCTCAATTTTCAAAATCTCACTTGGGCCCATGACTAAATAAATAAACACAGGAAATTCCCAATACTAAATTTTCCACCACATCTTTTGCTATAAACCAGTCAGAAATTATAGACTTATTTGATTGGGTAAGGGCCGTCTTAAAATATGTTCCAATCCTCCCGCATTCTCGAGTTTTAAACATTTAGAAAATAATTAATGATTGAATTCTTTCTTGTGGCTGATTATAAGAAACTGACCTTTTACAATATGACCTAGTTATATGAAGAGGGTGAACAATAGTTAGATACTATTTTTTGCTTAAAAATCATATACAGTATCTTTAAAAAGTTGGAAGCTTTACCCTAATTTTAGGAAATCTTCCACTTCTCACTATGCATAAAGGGAACATTGTCAGCCTTCCCTAATGGTTCTATCGTCACTGATTCTAACCCACAGCACGAACAAGGCCCATCTGTAATGCCAAGAAGACACCACCACCAAACCAGTTATACCTCTTCTTGAGAGTAATTATCTTCCTAAGTTAACAAACAAAAGTCTGCTGGAGATTTAAGAGCCAAAATAAGCTCTACAGCCCTAAATTTAACAAGGAGATCTAGTTCATTTTTTTTAAAGGTTCTCATTTATAAAATAACACCATGTTTAAAAAGTTAATATTCCACCCTGAAGGATCCACTTGAAATAATAAATGCATGTAACATTTAAGTTTAGGAATAAAGAATTTTCCAATGAAAAAATATACACACATATACACATACATATTACCATAAAAATTTTCCATTAAAAATGGTTTTAAACAAACAGGTAGATAAATGTTATAAACATTCAGAAATGAGTTATTATATAAAAATAAGTTAATAATTAATGGATATATATATATATATCTTAATTATATTAATGAAATGAAGTGTCTTCCAGGTATTGTCTGTCTGCTTGTAATTATTTACAACTTAAAAGCATTTGAAAGAGAGCTAATTCAGGAATTCCTTAACTCTGAAAATAACCTTATGTATTTGGAATGTGATTCCATGATTTGTCAGTTTTAGTACCTTGGTAATGAAGGGAGACACAATCTAAATGATGTAAACAAATGAGAAGCTTTTGCTAATTATCCTAAGTACTGAAACAATTTGGTTCAGTTCAATAGTGAAAGATTCTTGGCTCTCTCCTTAGTTCTTAAAATCTCAACTACTGGAAACAATGAAAGCAACTCATGTGAGGTGGCCTTTGCTATCAGTGTTTCATCTACACATCTCTTAAAAGCAATATTGGTATAGTTCCTAATGCGTATCTTGGAATTAAACCAAATCCAGGCCTCAAGTGGTAAGAGCTGTACAGATATTATCTAAACCAGTAGTTCTCAGACTTTAGTATATACCAGACTCACCCAAAGGGCTTGTTAAAACACAGGTTGCTGGGCTCCACCTCCCCGTTTCTAAATAGTAGGTCTGGGGTGTAGCCTAATTTGCATTTTTAACAGGCTCCCAGGTGAAAGTGATTCTGATGCTTCTGGTTGGGGGCACCACCGGACAACTACTGATCTAAATAAAACCTATTATTTTGGTAACAAACTCAACAAAAATATACAAGATATTAATATATGGAAAGATATTGTCTAGTTCATCAGCAAAAATGAATTACCTCTACATACTGCAGCCTGAACTTAAAGTATCAACAATTCTCTCACTAGAAGTAATAGGAACTCCATATTTAGAAAAATAGAAAAAGGAGTGATACTCTATATTCAAAGAAGGTATTTAGCATAGGATTCCTTTAAAGAGCAAACTCACCCGATACATTTCTATAACATAAAGCAAGAACCAACTATATACTAGAACAAGTCCATTTCCAACTTTCATGAAAGCAAACAATTTTTAAAAATCCAGTAACTCAGAACAAAACAACAGCAGCAGCAGCAGCAGCAGCAACAACAAAAACTACTTATAATTAGTAAGAACCAGATTTCATCTTCAGATTTAAGGATCTGACACAATGCTTCTCTTTAATACATTCCAGGCCACCTATACAGACACTCAGGGTTGAGAAACATAATGCCAATGTTTTCTAAAGGGCTAATTCACTGCCTGGAGGAATTGCCTATTCATAAGAGGAACAGGAAGATTGATTCAAGCTGGATGCTTTGGGGTTCTGATTTGCTCCTTTTTAGAAATAAATAAATTTCCAAAGCATTAGGGAAGAAAGATAGAGGTTTTCATAGGTGGGAAAGAATGTCAAGGAACAGAGAATGGGAAAAGAATACCAAGAGAATCCAGATCCAATTTCCTCTGAAATTGTATACATTGAAAAAGTCTTGTTAAGAGTCTCTAAAACTTTAAAATTTGTCTTTTAAGGCAATATTCCGTTTTTGAATTAATCCGAAGAAAACAATAAACACTATAAAGATATATTCACATATAAAGACAGGAGCCATGTAATTGTCCAAAACCAGAAGTCTGGACACTTGGATAAGGACTCCATCTGGACACTGATATGCGTGGGACTGCTGCCCACTGTGGACTATAAGAACTCAG